GACTTGCCTGTATGTTTAGGGTCTGACTCACTCAGGGGAATTCATAAAGACTGGTGCTATGTTTTAGCAAGAACAGTTTTCTTTGGACAAATAGATATTCGTACGAATTTCGGTAAATTTGAACATTCGAATGTATCAGAATTTCCAAATTCTAAAGGTTCTGAATGTGAACGAATCCGAATGTTTGTTTAATGAAAATTCATGTCTGTCCAAATTTTGTTCAAAACTGGCCAATCACATGTGTTTTCTTTGGCTGTTGGGAGTTGCATTACAGGCACTGTCATGTGACTTCGTTCCGAAACAAAAAAAACAGTGGTAGTTGCAAATTTTTATTATATGACATTAGCGCAACCTATTATCAAACCCAAAAATGTTGTGAAAAATGCACTTAAGTTACATTTATTGCCCCAACCCCCCTTTTTTTTAAAAATATAAAAGATGAGGTTACGAGTAAATAGATACCCTACAGGCCCAGGTTAAAAATTGTGTGCGTCTGTGAAACTGCAACAAAATTCAGTACCCCAAAAAGTCCAAACACGACGCCTTAAAAGCCCCTGACTGGTCTAGACTGGTCATCAGTCTAAAGATACGCATAAATATTGGCCCTAGAATAATTTATCTCACTCTGGCATGCGTGGCGATACCCAACATGTATAGCGCAATTGTTGTTTTCGTATGCAGGCTCACCCAGCGTGTGTTTACGTTATGACGTGGGTGCTCGTGGGGGCGGGGGAATTTTTTTAATGATTTTTACATTTATTTTATTTAATATTATTTTTAAAACTGTTTTTTTTTAAACTTTACTTTAATTGCTATTACATAGGGGGGGCTTACAATCCAGCCATGTGATAGCATATTGGTGGTGACAGGTCCTCTTTAAGGTGATACTGGGGGTCCAAAAGACCCCTAGTATCACCTTTACACTCTAAATAGGCTATTGAAGTGCAGATCGCACTTCAATAGCTTATTGCTGGGCTTCAGGTGCCCAGCAATGACAGCTCTGGGACCGGAAGTGATGCAATACGCATCGCTCCCGGTCCCATAGAACAGGGAGGAGAACAGGTTCCCCGCTCTCCTTCCCAGCTTCCTGCTGACACCCAAGATGCCGATCTAGGGCTCGTAGGAGGAGCAGCGGAGCCCAATAAACACGGCAGGGGTGTCGGGTAGGGAGGCGGCCATTTTACCGGATTGTAGAAGCAATCTGGCGGCAGCTGAACCACCAGAATCGCTTCTACTGTAAAGCCAGCTGCCGGCTCTACAAATATGAACAGACTAAGCCACCAGGAGTCTGTTTAACCCCCTAAGGACCCATGATAGAAATATCCCGTCATGTGTCGTGAAGGGGTTAAGGCCCCTTTCACACAGAATGATCAGGAGAGGATTCATGCATTGAAAATCCATGTCCATCCAGTTTTTTCCATCTTGTGATGAAGGAAGAAACTGTGGTAGCCCCACTGCAAGGGTTAATATTAGATCTTTGCACCACTAGCGGGATGTCATTTTAAAAGGTACTGTACCAAATTAAAAAAAGTCCTATTGACAGTTTCGGTAGCTTTACTGACACTGATAGATTCAGATAGTTCATAATGGTACCACTTAAGAACCTCTCTCTATTGCTGCAACATGCTGAAAAATAATTACTTCCAGTTTACAGATTTAAAAAATGGCGTTTTTTAAGACCAATTCTGATTTGGCCTACAGCGAGTTGCCAGTGCTCAGTGTAGGTCATGTATGTATGGGAAGCTGTCATGAATCTGTCAACTTCCTGCTGAGGGTTCATTGAGGGTTTATTGGTTGCTAAAACACTGCTGGCTGACAGAATCCTTAACAACCAGTAATGCTGACAGTGGGACGGGCCTGATGGGGATGCCAAGGGACTAGTTCCCCAGCAGGTTCTCTCTGCTAGTAATTGACAGCAGGTAGTAGTTAGATTCCATAGCAGGCTGTCTATTGGCTATAGAATTCACCCACTGCCTTCTGTTAATCACCAGGGAAGCAGACTTGATGGGGAACTAGTTCGTTGGCTTCTCCATCAGGGTCTGCCTACCCCTAGTAAATATTCTTGGTTACTTCACTGCTGTGTTGCAGTTGAATTAGCCTTTGGAAGTGGTGGACTGCACTGAGGATGAAGTATCTGGTATGGACACTCCGGCTTCAGTGCGCCTCCGCACTTATTCATGTGAATGCACAACTATATAAATTACAGGGAATGTCTTTTTTACTGTCTGAGACACAAGTCCACTCTTAGCTGTGCCGATGTGACTAATAGATCCTCCCAGGCTTACTGCTATCTTCATATATTCTAGGCAGGGTTTTCTAATAATATTACTCAAGGAGCAGGTTGGTGTGCAGTCAGAGCAAAGAAAACATGCTAGAAGAGACAGAAGATAAACTGTGTCAACAGGTCAGCAGACTCGCACACCAATTGTTTAGGCAATGTGACCAGCAGGGGGTATCTATCACAGCATTTATTTTTCTCATACTGAGCTGAAACATGTATTTTTATGTTTGTATTAAGTTAAAGGAAAACCTAAAGGCTTTTGGAAAGCTACAATAACTATGGCCATCACACGTCCTGCAAGTAAACAGTCTCTACATTTTTTACAAAATGTCCTTGACACATACTGGTTGTTTTGCAAACGTGACATGAAAGACACACTGTTTTCTTATCACTGGTAATTTTCTTCTATATTTATCAATTCTAAATCCTTTGAAGACTGTAGGGGTGTGTTATCACTGCGGTTGTGTCAGGTTTGTGATTTTAACATCAAACACAGTGACATTTCCCTGTGATCTAAGAGAATTTGTAATGTCCGCATAAAGTTTGCTCCTACAAACAATTATTGTAGTACATCGTTAAACCGCTCTTCAACTGTCATATATAGCGCTGATTATGACAGATGACAACTGGTACACCATATAGATAGACCATTTCTACCAACTGATCAATCTATCTATTTATCTGCTTAACAATGTCGATGCCATGTTATCTCTAACTAAAAGAAAACGTGCTTCTAAATATACATAATATCATGTTTTTTGCACTTGGAATAGTATGTTTATTATAAGCTGCAGCAGTACCCAGTCTAACAGTAATAAATGAGTTAAAGTATTTGTCAGCAGGTTAATAAATGAGTTAAATTGTTTGTCAGCAGGTTTTATAGACAAGAACTGAAAGAATAAGGATGCTGCCTTCCTACATGCCCTAAATTTTGTTGAGCATTAGATTTTCTGGAAAACATGCAAACCCTGAAAAACAATTATATATATATAGATATATAGAGAT